CGCATGCAGGTCGCGCGCAGGCCGCGCCAGGCAGCGTGCAGGTCGCGCCAGGCCAGCCAGACCGGTGCCCGGGGGGGAGACTAACTTGGTAAGTTGTTGCCTGGGTGCTTGCCTAGTTGTCATGAGGTGCCACGTGTCGCAATTTCACTGGAGGACCAAATCTGCCCTCATCAGAACTCAAGGTAGATTTGGAGTTGAAGCTTCAATAATCAAATTCGAATACTTTTCATAAACTATTAGAATCTCTTTTGCAGCGAGATAGGGATTGTTCAGTTTGAGCGAAAATGGTTGAGAAGACTAAGCAGAAGGTTAAGTTACTAGTTAGGTGATTTAGTTGTAGCGATGTGTCTATGTAAAACTTTTCATCGATTATCGATGTAAAGTTTTACATTGATTATCGATGATATAATTAGGTGATATAGTTTTACATCGATTATTGATTATACTAGTTAGGTGATATAGTTTTACATAGATAATCGATGTAAAACTTTAGAGTTGATGAAGTTTTACATCGATTATCGGCATAAAACTAAACTCCATCCAAATGCACGCAAAACTAAACCGGAATATAATTTTACGTCGATAATAATTACATCCTCTTTCCAAATACATAACCAAACCAATGTAAAATTTACATCGGTTCTTGATTTATATAACATCCAAATGCAGCCTAAAGAACCTTATCACTTCACCTATGCCTATCCAGAAACCTTTTCCAGTTGGTCGTTACTCGTTAGTCTTTAATATGTATATGGAGGGTCGTTAGTCGTTAGTCTTCAATCACTGTCGATATTTTTGTGAAGTTGTTTTATGAATGGTAGGAAGAAAGAAGGGTTGTTTCAAGGAGGTATAATTAGAAGTTAAAAGTTAATTATAAATTACATTTTTTTAAATAATTATGATTAGAAATTCATTGGGATGAAGGGAGGTATTTTGGTTTCTATTTCACAATTGTCCTTTTCTCTGGCTTTTTATTTTTCCTTTTTCTCACTCTCTTCTCTTGGTTTCTGAAGTGGGTTTTGGGATTTTTTTCCTTTCTTTCCTTTTTTCGTGAACTTTAAGAGAGTGTTGTTCCAGGTTTTTTTTTTTACTCCAATGCTTGCCATTTGATGTTTTTTCCTTCTCTGGTTCCTTTGTTTTCTTCTCTGGGTGTCTGAGTTTCTATTTGCATTTCATTATTTCTTTCTTTATTTACTCTCTACTATAGTAAACTTTTATGTGAGAACGATAGATAAAGAAAATTAGATGACACCTGAAGTACATTTTGGTCTTTTCACATACCACTCAACGATTTTAGATTAAACCGGCAGTTTTGGGGAGTTCAGGTGGCACATTTTAAAGTTTGGATATTAAACTAAAGTACAGGGTACTAATTTAGTGCAAGATATGGGTGCATTTGTCCACACTTCAACCCAATGGATTTTATGGCCCAAAAGCTCACCACAAATTCCATGGTTTATTTGCTTTTTCTTTTAAAAGTCGAGAGGTTCTGAATCTAGAACTTGATAATTAATAAAAAGATTAATGTAATAACAGTTGCCAAGAAAAAGCTCATACATCTGGTGTTCGACTAACTCTGATTTTTTATGCTTGTGCACAAACAACCAAGTAAAATAATTGTAAAGCATATACCTGAAGCCGGGAGCTTAAACACAGAAATAGCTAGAAGAAAAGGCAATAATTGTTTTAATCCTAGCAATACCAAAATTGGTACAGAAGCACAAGCCCAGACTTTAGGCCTCTAAGCTGAAGGAGACCACTAAATTAATGGGGAAAATTAAGGAGAAAAAGACCAAAACAAATGGTGCTAAGCAGAATATTTGCAGAGGTTCTCAAATCCCATGTACTCATGCCGCTGGATCTTCCCAATCATATTTGAAATGCCAACTCCACCTGTTAGAATAGTAAGCCATTAGTTCTAAAGAAGACCATTTTTGAGGCTGAAAGAAAGTAGCCAACAGTTTAAACAATCTTTGAAAAAAAAAGCAGCTGCATTTCTCCAAATGATGCTCACCTAGTGAGACTGCACTCACAAAGATTGTGAGTGACAGAATGAAGATGATGAGAGATGCCCTCCCCAATATGATGATCAGCTTTCTGACCACATGTTGCCCTATGAATGCAGCAACAGTTGCCACAGCCACAAAGTAGAGAGCTGCCAAAATAAATCAATGTTAAGTATTGAACCAGAAACAAAATCGGATTTGCTCCTCACAGCGCTTCCAGCTGTGCATTGAGAACATCTCCCGTACTTGATTTTGTCATTCATGGGAAGATGTTCCCAATGCAGTGCTGCGATGTACTGAGGAGCAAATCCGGATTCACCAGAAACCATCTTCATGTTGTTTACATCTAGATATAGACAAAAATATAAAAGGAATCATGCATGGTATACTTTTACATTGGATTCACTTACCATATGGAACTGGAAAACGTTTCAGAAGGTAATATTCTACAACTGACATGGATGAGGAGAAGGTCATGGCAAAAGTGGCCGTAGCACTTGAAACCTACACAATCAAGTTCTCTAGAGTCAGACCCCCGCATTCAAGTTATACTAGAAGAAAAATTTAACTTTCCATGAAATGGTGAAAACAGAGAAATTGTGTTTGTTGTCTTCATCCACAAAGATTCAGAATGAATGCATGATAGGCCAATTCTTTCCACTTGTACACATTGTGCATACAGTGACACTTGGAAAATTTAATAAATTCCAGGAAAAGTCTCCCCAAATTCCTTCACAGTCAGTAACATCAAATGCACCAACACCATCAACTAACTGCCCATAGCTCAGACAGTAGTCTATCAACTTTGAGTTCCTGAGTTCGATCCAAGTTTACCAATCAAAGGAACAGCTTATTAGGTTGCCATGTTAAAGAAGTGCAAATTATACCAACATGAGGGAAATTCAAGTTTTAAAAGGAAACCAATTTGAGCAATCACACAAGAATTGGGTGCTACTACTAGATCGACGTCCAAGGAAACTAGAGAACAGAACACACCTGGGGAGGGATTCCCAATTCCAAGAAAAGAGGACCTAAAATAAACCCTCCACCTAGACCAAGCAGCCCGCCGACCATACCAGCCAGTACACCACAGGAACAATACAAAATCAGCTGGTGCACTTTCCAGTTTGTGCCTGCATCTCCCTTTGATGCAATCACTCTCCGTCCTCTGTATAGGCTAATTGCCTCATATCCACTCACAACAACAGCAATAGGTATCTGCAAAGTAGGAGGAAAATTCTGTTTAGTTCTTCAAAACAAGGTATAAAGGGATTGTTATTTGTTACAACTCTACTTTTAGTTTATTTAACCAGTGCATTGTTCTACAACAAAGAGGCCATAGGTCCATCCACACCCAGCTTATCAAACCAAGAAAGGTAAAATATAAGAGACAACTTGTATTTGACCAAAGTAACAGAAGGTACCTGCAATAAGTTCAAAACCCAGTATGGTACCGAACAGGTGGTTGTACTGTCCTGTCTCAACATTCATAGTTTTCCCATTGGTTAGTTCATATATTCATAGAAGCATTGAGAAATCCAAAAATAGTTTTATGGCCATTAATAATCACATGTAGAGAGAGAGAGAGCAAACCTTGATAACAATTTGCAGAACAAGAAAAGCAACCCAAACAAAAACAAGAAGACCAAGTTCCTTCCAGTAGACATTCTCAATAATAGAAACCTGTTATAGATAGTACAGAAGTAAGTCTTGAAAATCTCTAAGAGGTGGCAATATATATCTTATAAGAGCACCCTCATTTAGTCCCCAGATCTCTCTGTGGTAAAAGTATAACTTTAAGATAGGACTCACGTTTGCTTCTCCAGATTTTATGGTGCCCTGCTGAGTGCCATTGCCTGGGCCACTAGGTAGAGGCTTATATTCTACTTGTTCATTGCCAGTACCTGAATTAAAATGGGAAAGATCACAACTCACAAGGATTTGTTCTGGGGAAAAAAGGAAAACAATTAACGTGCCCATTGACATATATAGGATGAATGGACTAACCATCTGACTCCAGGCGCTTAGCAGCTTCCTGAAATAATAAACAAGAAGGTTTCAGGAGCAAGGACAGATCCAGATTAAGATCAATTAGCTGATGTAACATCTACAACAGAGAGATGGTAATTCATAGACTACCTTTTTTACTATGGTTTCTTTTTTCCAGGTTTCAACACCCTTTAAGAATGCCTTAGTTGATGTGCCTGCAGATTACCATAATCAATCCAGGATGATCCATTGTAATTAATCAAAGATGCTTTAGAGCTTGAAGACAGCAAGGAAAAATTGTGTTCAAACAGTCATTACCTATAAAGAGTATGATTAGCAATACAGTAACCATCCAGTCTGCAAAAATCACATTGAAAGCGACTCCAATACTGATCCCCAGCATAAGCATAGGTTGGAAGAGCAAAGCCAAGTCATAGTCAATAATGGGCATATCAAGAGTTGGATGCCTTAGCTTAAGATTGTAGTAAACAGTTGAAGCTGCTGCACCCATGATCATACCTGGCATAACAAACGGGACCATAATCTTAGTATTTACTTTAAGGTGGATTAATAGAGCATAGCAGGGTGAAAATGTGAAGTAAAAATTCTGGGAAACAAGCTTAGTCAATCAATGGCTTCCATATTCCAAGCTCAAAATTCAATCACATCCCAAGATGGCCTTCTGGGTCAAGCCAAGATGGCAACTGAGTCTGAGTTGTATGGAGCCCATGAGATCCAGTTGGTGAAAAATGAACCAGTCATTGGAAATTCATAAAAAGTGACTGTTCTGCTGGTTTTATCCCAAGTACGAGATGAATTTCTGATTCACCGGTGGCAGAGCATATTTGCTGGTTCAATTCTTCATTTGGCTACGAAGTTTCCAAACAGGTTAAAATTAGGAGGAGAAAAGCTGCAACGGCTATGTCTTACACTTGGATATTGCTGTTGATGATTTCGCATCAAACCCAATAATCAGAGTAAGCATAGGAACGAAAATCCCGCCACCACCAACTCCTCCGACACTACCAAACGCTGCACCACAGAACCCAATTATCGTACCCACGATAACTTTCCAGCCGAATTTCATTTCCTGCAAAGGAAAAGGAAAACGAAAACACATTTAAAGCAGATCTTTATAAGTTAGAGAAGAAAGAAAAGCAATTCAACTATTTTCTTTTCTTTTTACTACTGGTTGCAAACAGAATGAGATTTTACTTACAGGCCAAACATGTTGGTAACCTGATTCACCCGACTGCCACAGGAAATTTATAATTTTCAGAAGATAGTCCGATTCACCATCCCGAGTTCCATTGTTTCCTGAGGCCCCATGTTTCAGACTGCGCTCTGCAGAAGCAAACACAGAAGCTAGGAGGAAGCTGAGAGCAACCATCGCTACGGATCTCAGGCCTTGCCATTTTGCTCCAGCTTCAGCCATCGTACGATAACAGAGTACAAACTTTCCTCTCTTTTCCTCTAACTACCACCTCTAGATCAAACTAAGCTGCCCAAATTTACTCAAACGTCTTCTTTAAACGAAAAAGGAAGGAAAATTTTCAATTCCACAGCGCAATCCAGCTATCTGCAGCTGCTCTTCTTTATTAAAATTAACCACTCCAGTCCAGCAAACCGAATCACGGTTCTTAAACTACACGGAGCGAATGTCTAACGTGGAAGCGAAGAAACAGAAACAGAATTCAAACTTGAGTTCCAACTCCCAGAGGTGGTAGTCACGGCCTCTTCCCACTACAACCGTCTTCTCTCCGCAGCTCCGACCCGAATCTAGACCAAACTGCGCTGGAACCCGTGACCCCAGAAACCAGAGTCGCAGGCAGAGCCGGAACTAGAGAAGAAGGTCAGAGCTGGGCCAGTCACTGACGTGGTCCTTCTCTCTCCGTTTCCCCGGCCGGATTTTATGGATTTCGTGACGTGCTACCGTAATCGGCAATCCGGGCCGGGACGGGGAGGTGCTTAAAAGATCAAACTGGAAAAACAGGACGAGAAGAAATGCAAAGAGCAAGAGCAGAAGAAAGCAAGTTCGACTGGATTGAAGAAAATGTAAAAACGAGATTGCAGTTGGTCCAGGACCCGTTTTCAGGTTAGGGGGGACTAATCACTTAACCAGTGCTCGTTTATATACACACACTTGCCTCGCTCCGTTCCTCACCTGTTTCGTCAGTTTGCTGCTGCTCTCATTTTAAATGCAAAAACGTCATAAAAAAATGAATTTGCCAAATAGTTACAAAAACTGAACCGGTGTATAACATTCYTACCAAACGTAGCCTTAACTCTTACCTCAAACAGTGCTCTCATTTTAAATGCAAAAACGTCATAAAAAAATGAATTTGCCAAATAGTTACAAAAACTGAACCGGTGTATAACATTCYTACCAAACGTAGCCTTAACTCTTACCTCAAACAGTTCTACTTCCAATTTTCTAAAGGCAGCAGATGATCTGCCACTGCACTGATCAGGGAATCTCCGTATCTACCACGCCACGCCGATGCAACGTGTTCGAACGGGATTCAGTCAGTGTAAATCCGTTCGAATGGGATTTGCAATGATTGAAGCCGATTTCTACTTTGCCTGGGTTTTTTGGGAATATGAAATCAGGCATGTGACACAATAATTGTTCAATGCCAATTAGGGCGGTGTTTGGTATAACTTTCGTTTATTTGATAAGTAGTAGCATGTCATCACCAAATTAATATTTATGCACGGGTATTTGATAAAAGGGTTTAGCATTTTTTCACTGTTGTGGTAATATGGTGCTTAATTGCGCCTAATAACACTTAGTAGCATCTAGTTGTCAATAAATTGTTTATCAAGTATTTTTTTGAAAACAAATCCAATACAAAACATTTATTTAACAAACGGAAGCTATACCAAACACATAATAGATGGGAAATTGTGTAAATTCACCACAACTTTTCAAAATGTCTAAAATTCACTATGTCAATAAGTTTTTATTTTTCAAAATTCACCTTCCGTTAGTACACCGTTAATACTTTGTAATAGAGGTGTCCATATCAGCATAAATAATAATTTTAATGACCAAATTACCCTTGAATGGCGAGTTAAAGGAAAAATGATCTTTTTCAGTTTTTGATTTTTTTTTGCATTTTTAGTGTTTTGTTATAATTTTCAATGTTTTTTTTGCATTTTCTATTTTCTATAATCTATAAATTTTCCTGTATTTTTTGTTCTTTATTTGTAATTTCTATGTTTTTCTATAATTTTTGGTGTTTTTTTCTACAATTTTTATTTTTTATTTTGTTTTTCAATTTCTATAGTGTCTATAATTTGAATATAATTTTTTATTTTGTTTGCAATTTCTATAACTTTTTATATTTTTTATAATTTCTATGTTTTTATGTATTTTATATATGAAAATATTTTTGAACCTTTTCCTTTTTTTATGTCTAAATATTAAAATGATAATATATTAACACTCGTTAATTTATTTTGTATATATTTTATATTTTCTATGAAGGTTAAAATGGTAATATATTAACACCCATTAGTCCGTTTAAAGTCAAGTTAGTGACATGATGAGCTTTAAACATTTTGAAAAGTTGTGGTGAATTTAAGAAAAATGATAAAAACTAATGGTAAGTTTTAGACAATTTCCCATAATATATTTTTGTTGGGTTATTGTGGTTGGTGCATATGGTCGAAGTCTAAAAGAATTTGTTGTCCGGCCCACTTTGGCTCAATTGGAATGGGTCAGGCCAGAAAAATCCGGTAAATTTAAGGAAAAAACTTTAACTGTTGGAGGCCAACAATATAAGCTGTTGAGACAGTTTTTGAAAATGTCACATTACCACCTCAATTTATTTTGACTAAATACCAAATCATGGGCGTGAATAAGTGAACTGCCCAGAAACTGTCTCAACAGCCTATCCTGTTGGGCCCCAACAGCCAAAGCTACCCCTTATTTAAGTAGATGAGGTAGGATGGAATTGTTCCACGCACCGACTATAATGGGTCAACAATGTGCCACATCAGTCATCATCCGTTCACGTACAGAGTCTTACTCAGCAGCCATTCTTTATTAGTTTATTGTAATCCTTTCCAATCCAATGCAATCAATTATATAGGTTTTTTTTCTTATTTATTTATTAATATCAGTAAGAATCAAACAAAAATAAATAAATAAGTAAATGACACGAGCTCGGATCTACTATCCACTAGCTGTTTCTACATCTCTACTTATAAAACATTACAACATTACAGCTGTGTATCGAGAATATCTCCATCATCGTTCATAGGATTATGTTTTTAATATAGAATAATTTATGGGCAACAGATCTCAAGTGATATAATACACGAGATGAAACCAGGATTTTTTTTTTTCTTTGGGGGCTGAAATGTTAACAAATAAAAGAGCCAAAATATAAAAGGGATATAAATGAGGATCCTTGGCATTTTAAGGCATGGGCGAATGGCTCCCATGCCTCTCATGTGTTAGACAAACTTTTCATAAATGTGTAAAATACATGAATACTATGTATTTTAAAAGTAAGGATTAAAAATACAAATATTTATTTTTTAATATAAAATATTACTATACTATTATATATAGGCCTTTTATAAAGTAAACATTTGCCTTGGGCATTTGTATCAGATATATTTACACACGTGCATAGTACATGTTAATTAAGGCGATGTTGACATCGCGTTCATCTCGTGGATGTCAGTCCTGTTCACGGGATGAACGCCACTTTGGTCGGCTGTGGATGGGATTGGTCTACCATACACTCCCATTTTTCATCCAAAATTGTGGTTAAGGCCTGTTCATAGTTTGTTTTTTTATCCCTTATTTCACATTCTTCCTAAAAGGCTGAAACTGTTTCACATTTTAATATTTTTATTAATAAAATATTAATTATTTTATTTACTTTTTTTAATTTTTAATGTTTTTATCAATAAAATAATATTTTTAAATATTTAAAATATATTTTTTAAAATTTTAATTATTTAACTATTTTTATATAAAAAAAGTAATTTTTGTTGGTTAATATTAATTCATTGATGTATTTTTCAATATATTTATTATATAAAATGCAAAAGTTAGATATTTATAATTAACTTTGTAGATCATTCATAAAATGTACATGAGATATATGGAATCAAAAAGTGTGGTATGGACCAGTGGACTGGTCCAATCCATACAATTTGTCTACAGTTCATTACAACTATGGACTATGGTGTGGTGTGTAGGGGTGGATTCGAGCTTAGCCAAGTTGAATAGTATGAGGCTCGAGCTTAGTTCGCCAAGGTTGTATAAGGCTCGAATTCGGCTCGAGTAAAAATTTCATAAGTTTGAGCTCGGCTCGACTCAAACTCGATTTGAGGAAAAATATTTTATAAAAATAAAAAATTATATATAAAAATATTTTTATTTGATATTTAAAAATTAAGAATTATAATATTTTTATTATGTATATTATTTTTTATAATTTTATTATATGATATATTCGAGCTCGACTCGCAAGCCTCACGAGCCAAACTCTATTAGGCTGAAGTTTGGTTGAAATCGAGCCGAACTGAATTCGAACAACTAATAAAAAGCTCGATTCAATGCCACTCCTAATGATATAGATTAATCCATTTCACATGTATAAACCAATCCACATTCATCAATTTATTATTCATACTATAAAATACCTCCTAAACTAATCAATTTCAACTATTTAATGTAGTTTGGAGTAATTGTAGAGTCAGCATCAATGACATGGTTAGGTCCATTAAATAATTTTAATTTTGTCGTGAGGGCTGTGAATTTTGCATGGCCGTTTGCTTGTATATTGTCCCTAGCGAAAAGGTCCCTTGGTTACTGCCAATATTAGTCGCCACGATTAATTAGTAGTACAAGACAAGTCTGCACCCACGTGGGCCACGTCATCACCATAATCACAAAGTTGAAGTGTGAGATATATGCATGATTCCAACCTTTCAACTAATCGCTTGCTCGTCAAACAGGGGTGAACAAAAAAAATCGAAAAATCGAACCGACCTAAATGAAACTGAAAATTCGGTTAATCAAATCGATCGTTTCGGTTTTTGTTTGGTGTTTTTAAAAATTTGAAGGTATTGGTTATATTTCATTAACTAATATAAAATATCGATAGTTAATTGAATCGACCGGTATATATATTTTTATATATTTTATATATTATAAATTAATAAATATATATTTATAATATACTATTTATTATTTAAAATATAATATTTTATATATTTATAATTTTTATAATATATATTATAAAAATTTAAAAACTGAAAAACCGATAAACCAAAGTGATCGTTAAACGAATCAACCAATCGATTAATTAACTGACTTCAGTTCGATTACTAATTTTCCAAAAACCGATAATATTGGTTCAGTTCCAAAATATACCCTACAGTTCGGTTAACCAAACCATGAGCACCCCTATCATCAACAAAGGACTCTTGAATCTTGATGCAGGGAATCCATGTTTTTATTATAGAGTAACGAGGGAGGTCAAAAGTTCTCTCTCCTCAATGCTCACACGGAATTACTTTTCCTGTCATTTTTCATGCATGTGTTGATTTATTTGTTTTTAAATTACTTTTTCTTGATAATATCATTCTTCAAATTTCTCTCTCAATTTCCTAAAGGCATGTATATCGGGAGGCGAACTAAGCGACAGATTGGCTGGTGAACAAGCCTCATTCTTTGTCTAGTGGTATTGTTTCTCTTGATCTTTGTATCCTTCTTAATGATTATATTTAGCTTCTATTTGTTTTGGTGATTTTGTGGGGCGTGTTATCTCTCATCTTGTATAACACCTTTTGTTTCTATAAAAAAAAAAGAAAAATCTCTCTTAATTCCTTTCCTTTTTCCCCATTGAATAATTTTCTTTTTTTTTCTTAAATTTTTTAAACCCCTTTTTAACTCTCTCTCTCTCTAATCAAATAGCAATATAAATTAGATGGACTGGATCGAGTTAAGGTCAACTTAAGACCTAATTAAACATGGACATTGGTTGGTCTAGACGATTTGACCCAAACTAATGTAACCATGCATTGCATAGACTTAGTAGGGGTGTTCATTATGTGGAGAGGTGGAGCCAAGTATATTGACGGTCCCCCCCCCAAAAAAAAAAAAAAAAAACCTTTCTGTTAAAAGACC